CATTATAGTCAAATGGTTTTCCTCTAGGTTATCGCCTACAATGCAACAATACCAACAACATGTTAAAAACGAATAAATTATATATATATATATATATATTAGTGTTCTCATTCAATAGCCAGATTGCCTGAGGATAAAACATTCATCTCTGTCTCACTGTATTGCTTCTCAGGGTCCAGTAACGCTTCCCTGATGGCAGCATTGACAATAGGCTGTGTCCAGGATGATAAAAAAGGGTGCAAAAAATTAAAAATCCAGTGACAAATAGAGGAATTTAGCCCTAATTTGAAGCTTTTTGCAGAGGTGTAAGGGGACAAGACTGTTAAAAGCAAAGCTAATCCACGAAAAGCATCCGTACATAGTTCCTTTCCTCTGGTCCAGATGGGAAAGAGCAAAGTGTAATATGTAGTTAATAGCATCATCTGTAGACCTCTTAGGCCTATCTGCAAACGGTATCTCTAAAGGGTCCAGACCACTCGGGAGAGAGGAACAAATATAAGCTCCGACCAATTTTTCAGAGCACTTCATCACTATAGAAGTGAGTGCCACAGGACGATAATCAATCAGAGAGACAGGAAAAGGGGTTTTAGGGAGTGGGATGATCATTTAAGACTTAAATCTTGTTGGAACAGCAGCCTGATTAAGAGATCTAATTGATAAGCACAGACTTTTAATACGCATCCATTGATATTGTCTGTTCCACATGCTTTCCTGATTTAACTTTATAAAACTCTTATCTTACATTAAGTTCAGTAATGACCAGATTTTCCTTTCCCCTAACAAAACCTAATATCTCATCGTTATGGCTTTCCTCATCTGTATTAATATTGCTAACCTCAAATTGTGAATCAAATATATTTAAATCATTAAGGAAGCATTTTCCATTATGTAGTAACTTCAAGGACATACAATCTGCTGTTGTGGTGGTTTGGGGTGGAAGACTAAATATAAGTTTATACATATTACTATCCATGAGAGTCCAAAGTTCAATAATTTTGTAAAAGTACAAGTTATTTATTTTTTTTAAGACATTCTTAGTTTGAACAAATTACTTTTGCTACATTGACCACATGCTGCCACCATGTGGTGTAAAACCACATCACACAAACATAAAACAGTCTGTAGCAGAAATGTCAAGATGGTCATAAATTCAACGACTGTTTTAAATAACCAAAACAAAAACTGTCTAACAAGCAAACATTTCCTTACTTTGAATAACAACAGAATTGATCACGATTTTGACAAAAAATTGCTTTTTTCCCTGCTCTGAAATAGACAGAAAGCTGACTTGGTTGGTCTTAGTTTGCTAAATGTACAATCGACCTTTAAAATAAACGTACCTAAGTAAATAATAGTCACTGGAAGACGATTCCCATTATAAAATTAACCTAAAAATAGTAAAAAAAAAAAAAAAAAAAAATAGTCAACCACCGATGAATAGGCTTGACGATCCAGTTTCACTTGGTGTGTTTACGTTTTGTAACAGGAAGTCAGGGCGGAACAAAACGAAAGGCTGTTTTAAATGGCCAATGTTTAGCTTGCGTATTACTTTTCGTATAACTATTTAACATCAGATTTCATTTTGTTTTATTTTGCTTTTATTACAGCCCTGCTTCCAGCTTCGTATTCCACTCACTCGTCTGTGGTTGTACGAAACGAGAGTTTCAATGTGTTCATTTTATGAAAGTGATGAACATTGTTTACAGTCTACCATCAAAATAATATTTTCATTTCTATATTCTGTGTCACTCTCTCTGTAACTCATTGAAGCAGTGCAGATAACGTCAAATGTTCTTCGGCTCAAGAGTGCGCACGCTATGGTCACGGTTGGTTATCTGATTGGTAGTCTCAGCCTCAGACGTCACGCCCACGGAACGTTGGCTAAACGTCTGATGCATATGGTACACTTAACTGGAAACACTTCAGGAATGTCGAAGTCGTCATCTGATTGGTTGAATTTTATCGGATTTCCGGGGGGCGTCAGTGTCGCGTTTATTTTCGGTCCGCCGGGAAACAAAGCGCAGACGTGTGATTGCGGAGAAAAACTGTTGTGTTTATGAGTGACAATGAGCATTTCTCAAGATCAGCTAAACGTAGTTGTCCCCTCATCTATTATGGAAGATCAAGTGAAGTGCTTAATTGTGAAGGGGATATCAGCCGCGTTTGTGGGCAAACATGAAACAACAGACGCTGACATCGCAGCTGGCCGATTCAGTATTCATAGGGCGCACACTGGATTATAAGGCGCATAAGATAGCTACTGCAGAGTCAAACGTTTGACTGGGTTTGCGTTATGCATCCACTAGATGTGCTAAAGGGAATGTAGCGAGTGCGCGGCGCCGGAGGTGAGGCGTTTATTTAGTAGGCGTGAGCGCGCTGGGGCGGGGACGTAACTTACATTCGCAGCCTGACTCATGTGAGTATTCAAGATGGACATAAGATGGACATGAGCGCGAGTTCGTGGGTGAATTTAATAACGTGGAGCGTTGTTAACGAGCGCCTCCAGTGATTGCTGACTGACTTGTTGCACGCCGGTCTGTTGTTGTGGGGACATTTCCACGCCCCGAAACGTTACGCTGAACGAAACGAACTGTAATTGGTTGTTTGACATGTTGGTCAAACGGCCTTATGGGCGGGCCTTGGCCAAAGAAAGCTGCTATGAATTCCAGACCTTCAGCCGTCAGTCTGAAGGTCTGGCTACGCGAGACTATCTGATTGGTTGGCATCAAGGGTGTCATGCATCAGTCGGAAGTTGAAGCCGCGCGGGAGCCGCCGTTGTAGCAGAACTTCATCTGCTGGTAGCATCCCATTGACTCCCATTCATTTTGGCATCACTTTGACAGCGAATAACTTTACTGAGGTGTCCAAAGACTCCATTTGTCCATATTTATTTCTAAAGAAACACGACAATGTATAAAATGCTCCATTACTTATCTTATGTTACGGCCCTGTAGAAGCCGTTTTTGTAAAAGTAGGCTAAAGATTGCGTCATAACCACAGGACTTTCTGTCGCACAATTGAGACATTACCGTATAGACAGGAGGAGAAGCTCTCGGGCAATCTTTTACTGTCTATGATTGAGTCAAGATAGAAGCCCATAAATAGAGAGTCCATAAAAGCAACGGGACAAAATATTTCAACAACGTTTTTGAGGAATTAGGTGATTCAGATTTGTCTTGGTGCAGCTAGAAGATGTACAACTGTCAGACCGTCGTCACGCTCAGTTTTTAGCCTGCGCAGTCGCTCAGACATCAGGCAGGGAGTCAGTGCAATAATCGGACTTCAGTCTTCTCCGTTGAAATAAATGGGGTCCCTGTGTCCATTTCTTTTTCTGTCTATGGTTGGCATAGTGTACTGTGACCTAACACCGGGGTCCCGCTAACACATAGAATGATGTGCCTGAGTGTGATAATTGAGTTCAGGAGAAAGAGAGTTACAGGTATTAGCCGAGATATTAGTGTTGATATTTGCTTGTTAATATTTTATCAATCCAGTTGTGATTGAAAACGATCATTTTTGAAAATGACATTACTGAGTAAAGTTCTTGCTAGCCTTAGCAGCTTGCCCAAACGGCTCTTGACAAGGCAAAGTTTGCAAGAATAGTCCATCCAGAAGATATAGAGGTGGAGACTGAAGAAAGAGACTGTGAGGTATCTTCTGCTGAGATGGAAATATTTCCAGAACCTCCAACTCCACCTGGAGTGAAATTACAGCCACCTTTTCCAATCACAGTGGCAGAAACACTGATGATGCGGGCTCTAGAGTGCACTCGTGGGTGAAGCGGGCTCTGGAGTGGCTATTCGTCCAACAAACTCTTTTGATTATTAATTTATTCTAAGAAAATGGTATCTCCCATGGCCACTTTGAGCAAGTAGCAAAAACCGTGATCGTAAAATTGACTTTGATTTGCAAGCAGTCAACCAGAACCAAATACATAAAGTGCATAGTTTACTAACTAAATCATAAACAGGAATAAACTAAACAAACATACATAAATAACTGCCACTTCTAAAAAACCCACAGCTGTGCTAACACAAACTGTTAAAAGAAAAGCCAAAAGTGTTACGCCAAAGGAACTTCCTTCCCTTACTATTTCTGAGAAGTTCAGAAAAGACATTCCCAAAAACGGTCCTCGTCTCAGTTCTCGCGCATGCGCCCATAAGGAAGTAATGGAATAGTGGAATAAGGTCGTTATTTATGTTTTTTTCGCACAAAAAGTATTCTCGTCGCTTGATAAACTTATAATTGAGCCGCTGTAGGCACATGGAATATTTAAACCTTTTCTTTAATGACTTTATGGGCTGTCAAGAGCCAGTCCCTTAGGCAGTCTATCTAGGACTGATCCAGCTCTCAGATTCAATCAAAAATATCTTTATTTGTGTTCCGAAGATGAACGAAGGTCTTACGGGGTTGGAACAGCATGGGGGTGAGTAATTAATGACTTAATTTTCATTTTTGGGTGAACTAACCCTTTAAGCCAGGATTAGGTTTTAGTTCAATTAGGTCCATTTAAGTGGCTTTTTTGTCTCAGATAAAAACATTACTAGTGTGTAATGTTTGTATAAACATTACTAGCTTAGGTTAGACCAAAAATATTAAAAGTGTAATAATATTTTATATTATATAATATAATATTATAAATATTAAATGTTAGTTGGCATATCACCAACACTGCAACAATATGAATGTATGAATCTGCAAACAATAACATATTTGGCTGCAGTGTAACAAATTGTTCTTGTGTATTAAGTTCATTTCATCCCATCCTGGTCTTTTCATTCATCTCTGGTCTCTTGTTCTTTATGATGTTTTCTGGGAACTCTTGATTTTTATGTATACCAATACCATACAATTAATAAAGTCCTGGCTGAAACCTTAAACATGAAGTGAAATAAATGAGAAAAATACATTTTACTTCTGCTTTTTGCATGTAAAGCCAGTTTCATCATACATACTCAGCATTATCAAATATCAGAGCTTGCGAAATCTTTTGCTGATTCAAATGAGAGAATGGGATGGGATATCCGTGTTAAAAATGGTGCGAGTTCATTCTAGGCTTGTATTCAAGTTCTGGGCGGTTTGTGGTTATACACTGACTTCACCACAACTGAAGTAAAGGGCACACTTATCTGGGTCGCTGTAGTCTCATGAAAATCTACTTAAGGTAAACTATCAAATGCGTTTTAAATGAAAAATTATTTAGTTGTAAACAACTGACAAGACAAATGACTATATATATATATATATATACAGTAGATGCTACATTTAATCTTCATTATTTCTACACATCAGGTGATTCTCAGAATGCTTGCTGCAGATTTCTTTGTGTTCATTACCATTCTATCAGGTTAGTCTTGTTTTATTTTTTCATTAAGAATATAATTGAACTAACATAACCTTGACTTAAGAAAAATAATAATGCAAGAGCTTTTCTCAGAAGCAACTTTGCTTTCAGAGTCACTTTTTAAATGGTATCACTTTACAATAAGATTTCAGTAGTTAGTTAACAGTTAACATGGACTACAGTAAGAATGAACTATACTTCTACAACATTTATTAATATTGACGTTAATCGCAACATTTAATGATACATTATTAAAATCAAAAGTTGTATTTGTTAACATTAGTTGATGCACTGTGAACTTTTTATTACCAAACATAACAAATGTATTGCTCATTCTTAGTTCATGGTAGTTAATGCATGTTTATCATAAATAAACTCCTAAAATTAAAGGTTCTAAAAAGGTTCCAAAGATGCCAAACCTTTATTTTTAAGAGTGTATATGAAGTGTACATGTTCTATATTGTGAGAACCAGAAAGTTAATTTTGCTGGATATTTTTGCAGACATGTAGCCTATAAATTGTTAATTGTGGCATAATTGTCAAAATATTTTTGAGGGACAAGTATGTCCAGGCCTGTAGTTTTTTATTACATTTCATTATAGCACATTTGTGTTCCAGCTGCTAATAGCATGGAAACATCGGCCCCCAAAACCCTAAACACCACCAGCGGCTCCTGCCTTCTGATTCCCTGTCAATTTAAAATTTCAAAGGAGAACGAAAAATATCTTGACCTTTCACCAGTGGGAACCTGGAGAACCTGGTCTTCTGCTCACAGGCAGATGCAACCTCTGATAAATGTGGTGGGGGACTTACGAAAGAAAAACTGCACTTCTGTCATGATGAATCTCACCAGCCAGCATTCAGCTCGCTACTACTTCTGGCTTTCAGTGAAGAATTTTAATGTGTCTTCAAATAAAGCATTGCGTATAGGTGTGTCAGGTAAGGCAGTGTAAATGTTTCATTTAAGGATCTGACATAACTTTTCAGTTTAAGAGGTTTGTGGCATCAAATCTTTAAAAAATGTTCAGAGTTTTACTGGGCACATAGTATAAGCAACTTACATTTTAGGTTAAACATTGCCACTAATTTTGTGTATTTTTGTTCCCAAAAGTTTTGTTTGTGTTGGAGCAACAAAATTGTACATACGGGGATGGAAATCAACCCGCGCAAAAACATTTTTTAACTGCGGCAACAGCATCCTCTTCTCGGGTCGCTTTGACCCGAAATATTAACATTTTTATAAATTGACCGTTCATCGGAGGGGTCCGAGACCTTAAGACTTTTGTCACACTTTAACTTTGAATACACACAATATTTGTTATAAAATAAAATTGGTTGTAATAAAAATAGTAGGCTACCAACTCAACAATTTGACCCCAATAGGAATGAGGAAATGGCACAATCCAGAACAAACACACACAAATGAAGACACGAGACTAAGAACATCCCCAATGAACACCAATCACACATGCATACATACAGTAAGGCAATTAAAACTTGAAGAATATTTATTTGCTGATTTTCATTCAGAATATAAAAAACTTGTTACAGCTCCAAAAATGCTGTTATAATTTCACCATTTATTACACATTTGTGTTGGGTTGTTACGCATTGTGAATCCCTGCTGCATGTCCACCTTCCTGATAAACCACTTCAGTATAAATACAAACCAATGAACATGCTGAAAATTAAAACTAAAAATGCCCACATATATCCAAAACAAAAATAATGTTTTGTAATGTCTAAATATATAGTCTGCTGCAAATTGACTTCAAATGGGACTTTGGGAGGGGAACAGATCATTTAGTCCATATAGAGCTATAAGGCCATCTTGTGGCAAGAGTCATAAAATATTTATATATATATATATATATATATATATGTATATTTGACCTGATTTACCAGGGTTATGCATGAGTTATTTCCTATTTAAGTGAAAGAATGTGTAGAATGTGCTTATTTGTATTCAAATTATAGTTCAAATCTAATAGTTTAAAGGTAAATAATTAAAAAAATGAAATACAAAAAGTGCATTAAACCTTAACAAAATGAATTAATATAAACTTTCTGCACAAAAAATAATAATTATGTGTATTGTCTTCTCATGACATCATAACCTTGTCTTATTCCTTATTAATACAGAATGCTCTAACTCTTCTTATCAAACTCAAGTAGGGAACAATAATGCATTGCATAGCCTAGGTATTGCATTATTTTACACACTTACACAAATAGCAATTAAATCTCCAGTCGTCTATCTATCTCTTTGTGTAGTGTATATAGGCCTATGCTAGGTTGCAGCTCACGTGAATGAACTGGTTGCTACAGGAACCAAGAAGCCTAATAAAGAGGTTAACTTTACTAAAATACTAAAATTATATGTATTGAAATACAAATTTCATTTCATTTCTATGTCATTAATAGAATTGGCTTAATGCTGGCGTATGTTACTTCACGACGTGGCAAAACAAAACGTTTTCTTTACGTCATTCACACAGAATCTTAGCTGCGAGTGCGAACTAGATCAGACACGTGACGTTCTGGTTCTCCAAAAGTCTTTACCAATTGTACTGTTATCTTATCAATTAATTGAGAAATGTGTCCTATAGACCTTATGTACCAGACAAACGTGGGCGCCGCCATCTTTAGAATATTGTCTTTGAACTTCCGTTTTTGCGGTCGCTCTCTAGGCTATTTCCATGGCATCGCTGTCGAGGAGTAATTAGCTGGTGAAGTGGATTTACTTGTAGCGTTAACAAAAGTTATCATGTGCATTGTAATGTTTATCATAATCATTGTAAAGCAGATGTCTTACCAAATGTCGACCAGGAAATTTTTTACGAGCAGTTCATTCACACCTATGCAAGATCGCTGTGAAACAAACAAACCGGAAGCGCAGCGTTGAAAGGGGCGGGGCTACTGTAATATTACTTAAAGGGCATATTGCAGCTTAGAGGACCCAACGAGTCAATGCATATAAAAACAATGTATGAACTAGATTTTCTTTAAAATATACGTATAAACACGCTACAGAAGCTTCTGCAGTCGTTTTTGTGAGAAAATTTTACTTCCGCGTCTGAAAATGGGCGTGGCGGGCGTGACGCAATGAGCGGGAGAGCCGTCTATTCACACAACAGGAAAACAATGAATCGCATGACATTTCGGACGCTGAGGAAATACTCGTATGACGGATCAAGCCATAAAGTTGTGAGCCTGCTATGCTAAAGAGATCAGGGACAGGCCAGGATAATGTCAGACAGAATGGTCAGAGAAAAATTGAGTTGTGGTGTGAGGAGAACCAGTGGAGAACAGGACAGGTGCCTTTTAGGTGAGAGACGTGCTACACGTTCGCTAACGATATACACTGTGCTCACAATATTGTACAGATTATTATGATCCTATAACAGGCCAGCAGACATTAGTATGTTTAGGGTAGATTTATATACTATTAAATGTATAAAAACTTTACTTGCGTATATTTCTATACTAAATACTCGGGTAAATTTTTAATATATACTTTTTACCTAGGTTATAATATAAACAGAACATTAAAGTTTTGAGTATTTAAACCAATTTTGTTTTTCAATTACATGTTCTACTTAGGGCATGACATGACTAAGTTACCTATATAACACTATTTGATGCCATTGGTAGTAATACGACGATCAATATTCTTGCTTCGGCATACCATGTGTAACTCCATCATATCGCCGGGATGCTAATCATTTGATCTGAAGTGAACGCTACACACGACCGCGTTTTCCGAGCCGATGCAGAAGAGAAATCCCGTCTCTTCACCTGCTCAAACCGCACCAGGAACGAAAGATAGGCTATATAGCACCGTCACTTTTATTGTAATGGAAACTTGTGGACTCGATCTTGAAGTCCTGACAGGCTGGAGTTTTTGCAATCTCCACAAACACAATAATTTACCATGACGATGATAAATTAAAATGCAAAAACTAACGAAAGCACACCGACTGACGAGCGCTCTCACTGAACACCAGCCTGCTCTTCACTGAGCCGAGGCTGCGGCTCCCTGATATGACGTCAAATGACGCGATGTTGAAAAAAAAGCCGTTTTTACTAGCAGTCCAAGAAACGCTCACTTTATCTTCTAAATTAGTGCCCTTATGTTGTTTTAAAACATTTTAAATGCTGCATTTACTTTTCATATGGTATTTTCATACAAGGTTATCTATAAATTTCGATTTTTTTTTTACCTGCAATATGCTCTTTAAGGGCATCTTGAAGTAAACTGTAATTATTTGTAAATGCTTCGAGTTTCTATAGGCTACAAATGAATGCCATTATCATCACTCTTTCTCCTCTCCACATCCTGATAGATTCGTTGGCTGAGCCGTATGTGATTGTGCCGAGACTCAGGGAGGGTGAGGTGGGGAATCTGACTTGCACTGTTCCAGCGCCTTGCCCTAGTAACCCTCCAAATGTAACATGGGATCCTGCATTAGGTGGGAACATAACACGACTGATACAGATGAATGCTGATGGGACACAGAATGTTTCTGCCATTTTGAACTTCGTCCCATCGTTCCACCATCATGAGCTGAACGTGAGCTGTGTTTCCATGCATCTGCTGGAGAGACAGGACAAACCCCTGCCCAGCCACAAGACCGTCATCCTCAATGTGGAGTGTGAGGTTTTAACCCAACAGTTTGCAGCTAATCTCTTTGTGTTGTCATTTTGAAACTATTCAGTTTCTTCTCTTTTTTGGCTCACAGATGCTCCAAAGGAAACACAGATCTCTTCAGGCTGGCTTGGTAATAATGTTACTCTTACCTGCCAAAGTAATGCCAACCCTCCAGCGGTCCACAGGTGGTTCGTGAAGAAGGAAGATATAGTGGAAGAAGTGGGTGCCTCGCGTGTGCTTTCCTTTACTGTGACCCATAATAATAGTGGGGAATACATTTGTGAGGCCCAGAACCAACATGGTGCAGGGAAGTCCACAATCCTACAGATCAATGTCCCAGGTCAGTCTGTGCTTGAGACTGCAGCAGGTTTCCCCAAATCCTGCCTAGGAGGGCTACTTTCCTGCAGAGTTTAGAGTTTAGCCATTTTTTTAGGAACTCTGAAGACCTCAGCTTGTCCCAATTCAGAGGCTGGATCCTTCAAAGGTCGCATTCGAAGGCCATCGCTTCACCACAACGAAGGCTGTCCCGATTCAAAGGCTCCTTCAGATGTGGCCTCCAAACTCATTGCAGGCTGGTGACGACAGGATTCTTTTGAGAGAATTTGCTGAATTACACTTTTAAATATAAGTATTGGATTAGTATCAGCTTACTCAAATATCTCATGATACAAAATGTAAAAATAGAAGAAAAAAAATGTCTGCACGCTCTTGAAGAGAAGTACCCACACAAGGAACCACTCTTGATGACATCATACAGGGCCATACTCGAAAAAATTATTTCCGAAACTTATACGAACCCTGAAGGAGTGTATTTGGCACATAAACACTCCGTCATAGGTCCAATACGTTTTTTTAAACTTTGGCCATGTTTAGCATGAGAATCCAACTCTTTAACAGTGTAAATACAGTATGTCACAATGCATGAAATAGTATTAGACATCCACTTTAATACAACTTTCAAAAAAGTGCAGTACAAATGTTACTACCACTCATCAACTGTAGCTTTCACAATTACTAGCCGTCAAGAACAACCCTCCGTAGGCTAGACCGTCCCATTTGACAACGCTCGTTCTGATCTTCGTGGCCTTTGAAGGACGCAGCCTCTGAATTGGGACACAGCTCTTGATTAGCTTGTTCAGGTGTGTTTGTTAGGGTCGGAGCTAAACTCTGCAGAGCCGTGGCTCTCGAGGACCGGATTTGAGGAACCCTGCTGTACGGATTCACCATATATTTGTACATTACGGTTTTGCTCAGTCACTTTGGCTCAATTCTCAAATGAGATTTGTAACGGATTGTTACAAAAATGAATGTACTGTATACATTACACACAAGTGTGCGTATTATTTTTTGTACTCTTCAGTTTTTTCCAGTTAACTTTTACTGTTGAAATCTGTTTCTAAAAAACTTAGTGTAATACACAATCGCATTCAGCTAGACAAATCTGACAGTCAGTGTCAACAAAAATTAGGAAAATTAAATTTTTATATGAACAGTTCAAGGGTTGACTACTACCAAGGTGAAACATCTAAACATTTTGACAGTACAGCTCACATGATGAAATGTTTTCATTGTGGTGGCACTGACCAATTTAAGGACAAAATAACTGAAACGTGAATTATGCTTTGGGTGAGTTACTACATTTTACAGACGTGCAGTACTCATTATTTACCATAAAACAGTTACAGTTTAAAGAACGCTATGACTTGAAATGAGCCGAAGCGACTGAGAAAAACTATATTAGTTATGTAAATAGATTAAATGAACAGGCACAAAAGCCATGTTTGTCACTTCTCTTTGTTTTTGCAGGCATGTCATTCACTCCTTTCCTCGCAGTTTTGGCACTGTTCTCATTGCCTTTATGTGCAATTCCTATTGTTCTGACTTACAGAAGGTAGGATCCTGCTAGAAATGTAAATTATATAAAATATTTTATACACTATTTGAGAATTTTTTTCCTTTTTTTGTATATGCAGGTCCAAAAAAGTACACATAAGTGTAAGTATCTTTATATGTTTCTCATTAGATAGACAGACAGACAGATAAAACACTTCAGTTTGAGGTCTTTAGGAGCAAGGCAAACAAAATGTACACTGTAAAAAAGCTGCAAAATTTTGACAGTAACATGCTGTTTTCCATTAAAACAGCAATATACCATAGAAAAAAAATGCATTCTGGGTGATATATAGGAATATACTGACCAATAGGAATATACTGTGAATTAACAGCGCTCAAAGTCAATACTCGAGATGGTTTTCCAAATCCCACCCTATACCCTCATTCACTATTCCCTACAATAGTTCACTAATATAACCCACTTAAAGTGAATAAAAACAAGTGAGTTAATTTGGATACTGTTGAACAACTGCTGTTAACAAGCAGAATCACTGAAGGAAAGAGAACAGGGTCAGATGACAGTGGTTGTTTGTTAAAAGTCACAATTATCATCTAGTGGCCCGATTTACTGATCTCGTTTATTGTTTAATGTATTTATATGGGTGATGTATTGTATTTTTGATTGTGGTGTGACTATGATTTTACAGATGGAGTTTTGACAACCAGGAAATATGAAGTATTTTAAAAACATTTAATGCTCAAAACATTTTAAACTTCTAAATAAGCCACATACACACATACATCAATAATCACTGTATGAATCTAAACAATGGTGACAATCAAAATGTTCATAATGTAATGCATTATGGGTACCAGTGGGTACAAAAAAATTAATCCATGATTGCCAACATGCATTGTGTCATGAATAAATTATTCAGCTGAATTGTCAAGGATATTTTCTTTGATTTTTGCTATTGGTTTTGTGTTGACTTTTACTAGGGTGTTTTGTGATGTTCAGAGATGTTATCTTTTTTGTTGATTATCACCATTGTTGAGATTCATTGCCAGATTCTTCATTCATCCATTCATTCATTCATTCATATTTATTTCATTCTTTGAAAAAGAAATGAAAAGGAGCAAAAAGAAGATAAACTTATAATATCTGCCCCTTATCAACATAAATCTTTCTTGATGTCTATGTGTGTTTAAATGAAGCCGTAGTACAAATGTTTTTAGTGAATGATGAGTTTTAAATTCCTTCATAACTGATTGTGCAGGCTGCTTGATCTTTTGCTGTAGTTTCACAGTGTAGTACTGTAGTGCATTAAGTCAACACAATTTTGATAAGGAATAAGACACGGGCTAAGTTCATCACTAATGCTCAATCATCAGAAAATTAATCACTGAATAATATCATTAAACTTCAACACTGCTTCAGTGTTACTCCAGCACTCTGTAGTGTGGACACACACATGTTCATTTGAAACTGAACATTTTACAGTGGGGTTAAACGTGTCAAATAAAATAAAAAGAGTGAAGTGAAATTTAACGGTAATCAACTGTAAATTAATTTACGGCATCAAACTGTAAAAAAAATAACAGCAATTTACTGGCAACCAGCTGCCAGTAGATTACCGTAAAATCAAGGAAATACAGTAATATACTATATTTCCCTTGAAATATTAGAGAAAGTTCATAGAAAAAAAGTTATATTTACCCAATTCAATAACTTAAAAGGAGATTAAATATTAAATTGATGCGTTTTAGCACAATGATATAGGATATCTGTTAGTTTAATTAAAGAGGTTGGTGGGTCATTGTGCTGGAGAGTAGAGCCTGTGCTTCAGTCAAAGATGAGCAGAGAAACACCTGTTGCTTTATTTAAAGGCTGTAACTGTGTAGTTGCTAATGCAGTGATCTCCTTGCTAAGTATTTTACCACATACATGTGTGCTATTGTTCGCTAAATACAAATCGAAAAATTTTGTACAGTACACAAAATTTTAATTCACTATTACACATTAGGTGTTTGCAGTTTTATATTAAAATATATTCCTTTTCAGTGGACTCAAATTAAGTAAATTCACAGTATCTATCAATATAAATAGGCTACTAGTTTTTAAACTCGAACAGTTTGAAACAATCAGTTTACCAAATTTTACGAGTTAAATTCCAAGGTATTTTACGGTAACATACTGTTAAAAAAAGGAGAGCTGTAAATTCACGGTAGAGAGCTGTAAATTAACAGTACATTACTGGCAACCACAGTAGATTACCATTATGCAATGTTTTACTGATACTGGGCTATACTGTCACTTAAGTGTTACACATGATGAGTGCTTCACTGTTTTCAAATCAATGTTCTGTTGTGAGTGAATTAAAGTACACGTTCACAGCTCATTAAATGCATTTCAGGAAACAAACCAAGATCAGGACATTTATGCAAATGTGTCTTCGAGTGCAACAAAAGGCCATCAATCAAATACATATGGAAATAAGGAGGAGACCTGCACCGTTGACCCTGAATACACATTCGAAAAGAATCTCTCCAACGAAGACATCTATGCAAACTGTTGAAGTGAGAAGTGGAATATTTTTAAACACCCTTTCATGGATTTTTTTAAACACCATTTCAATTAGTCTATTTTCTGCTTCCTAACATATTTAACGTCCCATCTATTATGTATGTTCAGAACTTATATACTTCCTTTCTCCTTTTAAAGAATGAAAACCCCAATAAGTATGATTCAACTTTTTGAATGACTGTTTCTATTTGAATTTGTGTGATACATTTACTTTGCTCAATTAAAGAATTTTAAGAACCAAATTAGCCAATTAAATAATAGAGTAGTGGTGTCACCACACCTCAGTACTCTAGGGGGCGAAAGAGAGCTCAATCTTTAAGATGGACATGGAGGGTGTGTGTTTTCCTGTCTATGGTTTCAGTAAGGTCAGTGACACGGGATAACACCTGCGTCCCCTGGGTCAGAAAACCTCTCTGGATGAGAAGACGACAGGCAGGGCTGAGGCAGGTAAAGAATAGGTCTATAGACCTTATTCAGAGCAGCGCCATGACAGGTATGAAAGTGAGGCTGTGAGGGATAGACTTACCGTGTTTCCAATGTCATCCGCTGTAAAAAGCTGAATAAAGAGGCTAGATTACTTACAATTTTCCACAGCTTACCTTTTCGGAGTTTTTGGTCAACTGACATTTCTTGGAAAGATATTTTTCCAGTGTTTCATGAGCAGAACAATCCAAAAACACATTAAATAACAGTACAGCCCATTGAAGAGATGCAAGTCTAGCCCTCACAGCCTCGCTTTCATTCTCATTAAAAATTAAAGATGGCGCTGCCGTGAATAAGGCGTATAGAAGGATAACTTCAACAAAATCACAAGAACCTCAAACAGAATTGTCTACAATAGTCTGGGTTTTGTATTCTGTCGTTTCAGTGAAGGGTTTGCATTTGTGAAGAGAAAAAATTAAAGTTTTTGCTGTAGTATTGCAATAGGATGAGTTTGTTTCTTCATGTTGTGCTTTTTAAAAACCTCTGAAGAAAACAAACACTGAACAATTACTGTACATCATTAAAGGACTGTAAAATGATTAGTAATCACAACATTTTTTTCTTTTGTCAAATCAACTTAAAAAAATTATTTAGTTCCGATAACATATAATTTTGAGTTTCTGATGATTAAATCATTCTCCTTCATTGTATTAACTCACTTTTTTCCATTTCAATGAACTTAAAATTTTAAGGCAACCAGGTAACTTACTTTTTAAAGTTAAACCAACAATATTTTTTTACAGTGTAGTTCACTTTTAACAAAACTTTTGCTGATAATTTACTCACCCCAATGTCATCCAAGATAGCCATGTCTTTCTTTCTTCAGTCGAAAAGAAATTCAGGTTTTTGATGAAAACATCCCAGGATTTTTCTCCATATAATGGACTTCACTGCACCAAACGGTTCAAGGTCCAAAAGACAGTTTCAGATGATGAATAAGGGTCTTATCTATAGCGAAACGATCGCTCATTTAATAAATAAATAACAAAGTTTAAGTTTTATAAGCTCAAATGGTCGCCTAGCTCTGTTCTGTGATGCGAGTTCGTGACTCATATTCGACTCTCCTATATATATAAAAAACGTAAACTTTTTTTTTTTAAATGAGCAATCGTTTCACTTGATAAGACCCTTATTCATCGAATGAAAACTGTCTTTTGGACCTTGAACCGTTTGGTTCCCATTGAAGTCCATTATATGGAGAAAAATCCTGGAAAGTTTTCATCAAAAACCTTAATTTCTTATGATTAAAGAAAGAAAGACATGGATATGTTGGATGACACAGGGGTGATGAGTAAATTATCAGCAAAAGTTTTTTTTTAAAAGTGAACTATTCCTTTAAACAGACAAAACCCAAGTAATCATTAACCTAATCCAAATTCCACAACAATGGAAGAAAATCTAAATGGAATTTGATCAAAACAATTTTTAATAAACAAATTATTGTTGTAATTACAGGACGATTTTCCATTTAAGATCTATTGCAAAGTTGAAGAACTCTTTGCTTGAACTCTTTCAAGCAAATAGTTGCATTTAATGCATTTGTAACATAATGCAATTCACTTTATTGTGGTCTTCCTCAATCTTCACTATCTCGATTACAAATTATTCAAAAAGCAGCTGCAAGACTTTTAACTGGGTCTAGAGAGAGGGATTATATTTCTCCTGTTTTGACATCCCATTAGGTTTAGAGTTAAGATTCTTGTGTTTGTTTATAAGGTGTTGTCTGGCTGTGCACCAAGGTACACTTGTGATCTCATTGCTCCACAAACTAATACCGACGAGAAAAGAGCAATAAATAGACAACTTTACCTAAACGTCCTCTGTATGCAAACCATAGACAGTATAAGGATGCAAACAAAACAATGTGAAAAGGCACTGATTAACGTTAGAAAATCTGAAAATAATTAAAGTTTCCATGCAAACTTGTATTGGCAATCTCAGTCAGTAGTTGGTGACTGAATTTATGGGTTTAATGGTTTTTAGTGTCCATTTATAAATTAACTTATTTATATATTATTAACCAAGTAACATGCTGGCTTTATTGAAACAGTCTGGACTTTGTATAAAAATTACTGCTTAATTGTCAATGTTTTTTAACCAGCATGTGAAAAAAAGAGACATTTACACAACACCGTTTTAACTAAAAACACAAGCATGTTGGCCATTATTTACATGACGACAGAGTTTTGGGGACTTGACAATGCAAAAAAAAAAAAAAATAAGGTGTACATTTTTGAAATAAACAATTGAAATATTTAATCGCATTAATGTCATTAAACTCACGATTAAGCACACATTTTAATCTGTTCTAAATGTCTCTTGATTTCTTTTTGCCCTTTTATTTGTATTTTTTTAATGCTTTTATCAAAAAATCTAAAGTGGATCGGCTTGCTTTGTGCAATTGTTGTCGTCCCCGTACAAAACGACAAAAATTTTAAAAGTAAAATTTACATTCAGAATCTTATTGGCATCCATTTCGACTCAAAACGTAACGTTAACCAACAATTTGGCCGTCTCGCAAGCCTAAACAAGTGTGTGAGGCGGCGTGCCTGTTGTTTTGTTTCCGGTCTAGCTAGATCCGCTTGCGCTTTGGTCGACGAAGCAACAAAACGTCCTCGTGCTGCGCAGCGCCACGTTATGTTGCAAAAGCATGTGAAAAAAACTACAAAGTTTGCTAGGACAAAAAACACTGTTAATTGCACAATAAAAAAAACTGACGGCGTTAAAATGGGGTTGCGTTAACGCAGTTAATAACGCGTTTAACTGACAGCCCAAGTTACTACAAAAAAAAAATACAAAACTACATAAACGCGAATTTGTGAAAACGATGACATTGTGCGCATGCGTCTTGCATGTTCAGTAGGCACGTAATGTTTCTTTACAACGTCACATCACCAGCTACTGGCCTGGCAAACATAACACAGCACTTTTGTTCATTTTTGCGGAGTGGGGACCATTTTGAAATCATTGTCATCTGCATGAAAAATGCAAAAAAACAAACACGTTTTTAATACATCATTGCTAGCCTGGATGCCAGCCCGAACTCCGCCCACAACATTTTTTGGTCGGGAAGTTTGGTCTGGACTCGATCCATTGAGGGGTAATTATTATCAGACAAGAAATGTTCCTAGCCAATCAAATTGCCAGGGCTGGCTTTATACGATGATGGACAGATGATCTGCAAGGACGTAATCATCACATTATCAAAGAGCGCTTAACTGATTTCCCTCAGAGATGACTGCAGCTGGAGAATTGAGATGTATAGATTCCACTGCCGCGTCTGTTGTAAAATAAATCGACAGCGCATTAATTTTAACAGATGAACAGAAAACTGCAATCAAGGCATTTGTCGATCGGAAAGATATTTTTGCCGTCCTTCCTACATGATTTGGGAAAAGTGTAACTTATCAGCTGGCTCTGACGGTCGCTAAGAAGATGGGACGTAATGAAAAGCCTGTGGTCGTTGTGGTTTCTTATTTGGTCATACCCATGGAGAAGTAAGTAAAAGAAGCAACACTCGTTATTTAACTTCTAAAATAAGTAAGTTCTTGAAAACTGCGCTATGCAAAGGAGTTGACTTACTGCGTTGCTCTGATTGGTTGTAGGTTTACCGACTATCCAACTGAGTGCAGAGGGTTTTTTTTTTCCTGGTTTGGTTAAGACACGCCTCATAATCAAAGCCAAACGGAGCGGTTTCAGACTCACATTCTCAATAGAATACGAGTATGACGAAGTCAGGCTACATCATTGCCCCAAAACGCCCTGTTCCTTTAAGATGTTTTGTTGATGCAGAGTTTTGTTGATGCACACAGCACTTGTTCTTGTTCGTTCATGTCACGATAATGAACCGCTAACATACCACAGCTTCCTCATTTCTGAGAGCTCTGTGTGAAGGCATGCCTTCATTAGAAAATGAAAGTGACTTGTTTCAGGCAAAAAATAAGGTGACCATATTCACAATTAAAATAAAACTATCCATAACCTATAATAATTGATTAACAGAATCTTCTTCTTATTGTAGATATAACACAGAAAAAAAATAATTTTAAATTTTGTTTTATCAGTGCAATTCACACAGACACACATGGATACTGCGACCCTGGAGAAAAAAAAGGGGGGGGGGGATAAAGGAGGCAAAACTTATATATGTAAATACCAATACAGCACACAACACATTGAAAAAAAAAAAAATAATAATAAAATAAACAAATTTATTATTATTTTTTTTATTATTAAATTTTCTATTTGACCCACACATGGGCTAAAAACAACCTAGAATTTTTTTTTTAGAGTGTACATACTTTGTTACATTTTTACACACTAGATTAACTAGGTCAGGTCTCAAAACTTATCAAAGCTCAAGTTTCTCAAAGCATAGTGAGCAAAGTTGATCGTAGAGACCATTGGTGGTAATTGTTCTATAATCTACTTAAGCTTAAAATGCTTTTGAGAAATGCAGCCCAGATTGATAATGCCTGACAAGACATTCATCTCCCACAAGGCCCATGTTCCAGGAACATGTGCTTTCCAAGAAATATACTGCAAACGTCGCCATTTACTCACATGCAAACTTGAAAAATGGTACCTTTCTTTCTCCCATTGAACACAGAAGAATATATTGTGTATAAATAACTGCTGAAGACAACAAAAATCCAAAACGTTCACATTTCAAAATTCATTAGTCAATCAGCTTCTCTAATGCTACATTAATGAAATTTTGCAGGGGGAAAAACCTAAAACGGGTTCATTGTTGTATTGTCAATAGTCTTTTCAAATAGTGCAGCAAATTATGAAGCACAGTTCAAAAGTTACTTTTTTTTAAAAAAAAAACCAAGCTGTTTTCTTTCTCTCAATGTGGTGAATTAGTGTAATCAGCAGGAAAGTGTTGCAAAATCTGCAAAGGGGAAATTATCAACGTCACACGATAGATCTGCATGAGGAAAAGAACAAAAAATGTGACCAAATGTGATGAAACATGAAAAATAAGGTCCCCCACAAAAAAAAGGCAACCTTTGACTTCAGACGTATAAATTAATCCGTTCTTCAAATGGCGTAATCATGGCGCTTTAGAAAACATGACATTCCAGTGGAGTTCATTTCACACAACCTCGGTCTTTCTTGAAATTCAGACCCGATTTCACAATAAAGGGCAAAACAGCTGAAACGATCTTAAAAATATTATTAGTGTTCTGCAGGACAACGTCATTTTGGGCGATCTAACCCGTAAAGCAGGGTATTCCAACGCCATTCCAGGAGGCACACCTACAGTGATACGTCTGTTATCTGACCCATCTATTTCTGGTCTTAAAGTGCCCATAAAGGAGCAGATGAGTTGAATTAGGCAAGTTTAATTTGGAAAGAATTTCAAAAATGTGTAGTGTCGGCGTCCCCCTAGGCACAAGGGTGGGAACACTGCCTTAAAGATGACCTATAAAGTGTCAGTTGCACAAAAACAAATCACCTGTTGTCTTTCAAGTACACCAATGAAACAATCCCAAGTCATTGCAACCCCAAGTGAAAACTAGAACCAAAAAAGCCTTCATCCAGAGTATCTACTTTAATGCACATTATTGTCAGAAAATCACCAGCTTATCCTTTAACTTATCATCCAATTGGTCTAGTCCGTTTCCAACTGACCAAACATATCAGCAGGTCAGCATGGAGCTGTGCATATTCCTCCACAATCTCATGGTCTGCTGAGGGTTGCGTTGGTGAACCAGGAGCAAGTCTTTGTGCACACAGGGGTTCTCTCGATCTTGCTCCCGAATGTCAAATGTCTTGAAACCCTCGTGTTTGGTCGGAGTGATTCCAATCGCTTTAAAGCACATCCCGTTGTAGACGTCGTCGATGGGGTAGAAGGGTATGTAAAAGGAAACGTGGTAAAGAGATGGGAGAAGGTTTCCAGAAAAGAGAAATCCCCCGCCACCAGCATACGGAGGGTATGGACCTTCGTAGAAAGACTGAGGAACGTAATATTTGATCTTCGGGTCCCGTAATGGCGTGGCGTTAGAAATGATCTGCCCAGTGTACAACGTCGAAGCCTGTGCGGGATCAAGAGACTCCAGGTGATTCAGGATTGCTTGAGTGTTGGCAAAAACATCATCGTCGCCCTTAAAAATGAAAGACACCTGAGGACACTGATCCAGCATCCACTTGAAGAACACGTGCTCCTTGAGAGTCAGGTTGTAAAAGGTGTCGTGAAAGTCCCATACGAGCAGGTCTTTAAACTGCTGCGCTTCAAACGAAACCATTTTGTCGAGGCTGGGATCATCCGTGGATGATCGACCCAGCAGAAAGACAGTTCGCACCTGAAGTCCGTTCTCATACAAGCCTTCTCTTCCCCAGGTCTCTCGGACTGCTTGGCGCCTCTCGAAGTGCTTTGGGATGGATTTGATCGCAAAGAGAAGGAAAATTTGATCCGACGCACACTTGCCAGGCTGATCGAGAAGAACCGGTGGGTCTCGACACTCCATTCCTTTAAGGAAGTCTCCGTAAAGGAGGGGATACGTATGAATATCTTGAATGTTCGTTTGTAGCAACTCTAAACTCTCAGGATGACAGTGATACTTTTTATGCGGCTCCCTATGAGTTTCGTTGTTGGCGGAGTCAAACTGCCTGAGGAGAGAATGAAGCTTTCGGTTCCAGAAGGCACCGTTTTTGGGAATGTCTTTTCTGAACTTCTCAGAAATAGTAAGGGGAGGAAGTTCCTTTGGCGTAACACTTTTGGCTTTTCTTTTAACAGTTTGTGTTAGCACAGCTGTGGGTTTTTTAGAAGTGGCAGTTACAACTGAAGAGATTGTGGCCAAGTCTCTTTGTGTGCGTTCCACATCCGTTAGTGAGGAATAGAATAAGACAAAGAAAAGGCAGCTAGCCCCTGAGACGACGAAGAATTTAGTATGCCTTCTCATATTAAGAACTGTTGAGCGGTAACTTTGAGAAGAAAGGATGTTGGTCTCAACAGGAAATGGTGGGGGTTTACACAACAATCTTCTTGCGTTGAAGTGCTGCTCTGTTTCTTTGCTCTTTCTTGGGGGATCAATGTTAGTTGATCCTACATTTGCTTTTTATAGGCATGACAAACATCCGTTATGTGCATCTTCCTCCGAATTCAGTTTCTTCGATTATATTCCCATTTGACGTCAAGTTCAGCTGTGAGCCTAGGAGACACAAAGAAACAGAAATGCAAGTGAGATAACGGGAACACGACAAATGAAAGTCTCTTGTGACAGCAGCAAGTTTGGTTATGTACTATGAACACACCACTTCTAATACCACTGGGCTCTAAGCCTTGCTTAAAGGGATAGTTCACCCAAAAAATGAAAATGAAGTCATTAATTACTCACCCCCAAGCTATACCAACCCCGTAAGACCTTCGTTCGTCTTCGTTCGTCTTCGTCTTCTTTTTTAAATTTGAGAGGTGGATCACTGCTACATAGGATGTGTATGTAGATCGAAACTTGATGGCCCAGAAAGTCAATGAAGAAAATGTTTAAATATTCCATGTGACAACAGTGGCTCAAGTATAAGTTCATCAAGCGACGATAATACTTTTGGTGCGAAAAAACAAAATAAAAAACGACTTTATTCGACTACTCCATTTCTTCCTTGTAGGCCTCAGACGAGAGATCAAGAGATTTCCACAACGCATTTCCCTCAGTCATCATATGTAGCAGTGATCCACCTCTCAAATTTAATCAAAAATAACTTCACTTGTGTTCTGAAGATGAACTAACCCTTTAAATACTATCTTTCTGAAAGTTAAAGTGACAGTTTGCCCAAAAATGAAAATTCCTGCCATCATTTACTCACCCTTGTGTTGTTCAAAACCTGGATTTCTTTCTTCTGCAGAACACAAGATACTTCGAAGGGGCCCAATATGACCCAAGACATTCTTCAAAATATCTTTTGTGTTTCAGATCACTTAAATTTAATTCACATTTATTTGTACAGCGCTTTTCACAATACACATAGTTTCAAAGCAGCTTTACAGAAAATGCAAGCATCTACACTACAATTTCGAGTGATCTAATATCAGAGGTAAAGTATTTCAGCAAATCACAGTTAGCAAACAACGTATTAAATTTAAAGGAGAAGTCCGGCGCAAAATTAACCTTTGGTCTAATAAAACATCGGTACCTAGTCAATCGTTCTCTTAGATTTGTTTTCATGATAATCGAATGTAAAGAGTTTTATCTCTAAAAACTGTTTAGCGTATAACGCTAGTAATGGGGGCATTTGCGAAGTAAAAAGAAATCACTAGTTTATACCACTAACAAGGCTCAAAATAGCCCCACACTAACACAGTAACATAATGAGGCTCCATACATGCAAAACGAAGCAATGAGAACTTTGTAAGTGTACAGACTGTTTAATAAGAAGATACTTTATAAAGACAGTTCACTTCGTGTATACAGACAGGAGTATACACAGTCTTGATAAGTCGATCCCTGAACACCATTCAGAAGTTCGCTGAACTTCTTACAGTTCGGCTCACTCAGCACGACGTTCGTGGTTTGACTTGTCGAGACTATTTTCCAAGATGGCTCCTGTCTGAATACACGAAGTGAATGGTCTTTATAAAATATCTTCTTATTAAACGGTCTGTATGATGACTAAGTACCAATGTTTTATTAGACCAAACGCCGGAGTTCTCCTTTAAGGCAGAAACAATGAGCCCATTGAAGTTAAAAACGATTACAATATATAGAAATTTAGCACTGATGGCTGTTGATTCAGAGTTTGCATCATCTGAACATGTTGCAAGAGTTGAAGTAGGTTGAGTAAGGTGAGTAAATGACAGAGCATACTTTTTTTTTTTTTTAGGGGTGAACAAACATTGGCAAAAATAATATTTGTATTTGGATCTAAAAATAAACAAGCTTTTAAAAGTATTGGAAATATGGTCTCAGGAGACCAATTAAACAGGCTGTAGATGAAGTACATTTCACTCCTGTAAGACACTGTATTGAGCTCAGGGACAGAATGCAGGCAACATAAGCAAATGTGTGCACTTGGTCTTAGAACATGTAGAAGCAGCATTTAGATTCTGATTGATCGAACATGTGACTTGTGTTTCAGCCCTTGCCTGATCTATTTATTCAGCATTTGTAGTCGCTATACAGCAAACCCTTCCTTGATTCAATGATAAAAGCATTAAAAATTAGGCTTGATCTCAAAGCCATGGCTATATTCAGGAATGTACTTGCCACAAGTAATCAACTATTATTTTAACCATATCAGTCTTGAATCATTATTTAGTTTAAATGCTAAGCATGTTTATAAAGAATTACAAGGCAAAAATAGTTATTTCCAAGATAATACCTCAAGGCAAAAATGCTTACTGCTTCACTTAATGTTTTTGTTAAACAGGGTAGGCTATATTAGAAAACTGAATTATTTGGAAGGAAAACTCACATTAGCTTCAATGCGTCAAACATAGTTTTCGTAAAAATACAAGTTCACTAGATGCGTTACAAAGAAATCAATATATCAAGAAAATAGTAATTAAACAAATAAAAAGCTCTGGTTCATTGGAGATACTATCATACTAATAATAATAATAATAATAATTCGTCGCGGTGTTAGAGCTGTACAACTTTGAATGTTAAACAGATGAATGTAGGTATATAGGCTACTATCTATGATGGTAATACTAACAGTGGATAAAAAGTATTACTAACAATGGAAGGTATTAAACCGACTGGCAAGTTCAATTTAAATTAAAAGTGACGTTAAACGTTTTATCAAGAACAGCGAGAAAAAAACATTACAGGACTTACTGTGTGAGCTTCGATGAACGTTGTTAATAAAAACTGACCGCCTTCGCAACAGGAACAACGTTGTAACCCACTATGAGTGTGAGTGTGTGTGGCTCACTGTAAAACGGTACGTTGGCTTCCACCTTTCATCATCAGCCCATCTATGATTGGTGCTTATCATTCAACACACCTGGGCTGAACCACGTGACTATTAACGTAACGCGTAAGGAACGGCTCCCAATCCTCACCATTACAAGAATAGCAATGCACAATTGCACAATTAGAGAATACTGTGCTATTCACAAGGTCATTATTTATATCAAAATAGGATTAAAAAAATTATTTTGAGGGCATGAACGTGTTCCCGACTTAGGCTATAGTTGTCACGGTATAAAATTATATTTCTATTAATCTGCATTTTAATTTTTTTTTTCTGGGGTCTATTTTGACGCTTCCCTGTTCATTTACCAACATGAGTGGATCACTCTCGAGAAACTTTCAGTGATAAATGCCAGTAAAAGTGACTGTTGAATATTAACATTAGGCTAAAAACGAAGCTGAGGAAAGGTTTATATAATTCCATATGATGTCATCTTTCAATTAAACCTATATTTATAATCAAGACCCAAACGCATCTCTAAGTTTTCCATTGTGGTGGTGGTGAGGAAGTGGTTGTTTTGGGGGGAAACGAAAAACAGAAATCATGTGTGCTCTCTAAACTTTCACACACTAGAGCATTTAAAACATGCAGCTCTATTTGTTACAGAGGCAAGGTATTTCAAGGGCTTTTGAGCCGAGAGACATATTAATCACAGAAGAAAGTAAATATTTTAAAGGTTACAGGACAGGCCAGCACTTGTCTTTTACTTTCCAGAGAATAAATAAAATCACCCTGTACATGTTGGAATCAGTCCTTCGTTTACTCTCTTTTTCTTCTCCTGATGTCAAAACAATAATAATACAAAAAACTCAGATTAAAAAGATTAGTCTATGCAGGAATCAGCAAGCAAAAAAATATGCAGAGATGCCAGATGAGCTACTTCCGCTGCTAAGAATAAAAATATATATGACACACTAAAGCAGTTAACAGAATAAACCAATGCTTTTTTTTTTTTTTTTTTTTTTGAGCTCAGTGGATGATAACCAGATGACAAAGCATTTCTGAAGCTTGGTGTGCACAGCACTCCATAATATAAATGTGGCTGGTTACAGTTCTCATGCAACGCTCAAAATCACTTTCAAACAACCAGCCCTTCTTTATTTAGTGTTCTTTCAGGTCTGGTGGCACGCAGTGTCATAGTGAGGGAGGTCTGAGGTAAAGCAAGGAAATTAAGGCACTGAGAGTTGAGCTGGTGATAAAAGAGACCATCGTACTGAAGTCGTGGTGCTAAAGGCACGAGGCAGAGCGAGCGGAAGAGGCAGAGGTCAGGAGGAGGATGTTAGCGAAGGTCGCTTTCGTCTTCTTGTATGGTTTTCTTGATCCGAAGCAGCATGGTGGTGAGCCACTGATCCAGCCGTGAGATGGTGTCGTACTCCTTCACCTGAAGGATGGAGAGAAATGACAGCGAAACTGATGAAGATAAAGTTGTTCAGTTTAACTGGTGTGATTGTCACTAGCTATGTTTCTATCCAAACTTGTGTGGAAAAATTGGAAACATTTACGAATAAAGCACCATTTCCATCTAATGTGTTCAGGAGAACAAAAACGTCACTTCCTGGGAAACTGGCGCGAAATATCTGTATTAAAAATTAAAGTTGCTGCAATCGGGAAAGCCATTGCGGATCTCTTATCCTAGATTATAAATGACTTTTTTTACGACGAAACACAATATCATGTTATGTGGCATTCGGATGCCTTGTGTTTGGGCACTTTTGAGAGGTCATTATACTGAATCATTTTGGTGACAGACTTTGGCTCAGGCATTTCACAATGCCAACCAAAACTTGAGATACAATGCAATGAAACCGATCTGCTGGTTGGTCCGGTTATCAATCAACTGGCATAGCCACGGGTGTGCCAGGGTGTGCCAGTGCCATCCACAGTGGCAGCTGGTACACCTAATAACGGATGGAGAATTATTTTTTATTATAGTCTTGATACAAAATGTTTTACTAAACTTGGGTTATTACGGAGGCATATTGCATTCACTTGAAGAAAAAAAAAATCTACTCTGTTTTTCTGAACTAATTTTTCATGAGAAAAAAAGTTTTTGCTCTGTTTTTCTGAATTAACGAGTTAATTTTTCATGGAAATTTTTTTTTGCTCTGTTTTTATGAATTAATGAGTTAATTTTTCATGGGAAAAAAGTTTTTGCTCTGTTTTTATGAATTAATGAGTTAAAGCCACTATACCGCAGCCACTATAACTGACGTAGGCCTATTCGCTTTTATTTCATTTACCATGTCTGATATTCCAATTCTTCGTTTAAAAAACCTTTATAAATGATATTGATCTATATTCTAGCTAGCCTATATAACAAGATGAACACCGCAGTTTAGAGTCCTGTCAGTTGGATTTACAGCACCTGAAATTATCAGTTTCTCCCGAAATAGGCCCTACAACTGGGAGAAGAATAGAGTAAACTTTATAGTTCCGCTATGTGTCTGATATATAAATAAAACACATCGGCAAATTACATTTGAATAGATTGTTATTGCTGCTTCCATAGACATCAGTGTATTTTACTAACCCCAAATGTACTCTATTGCTTTTCTAGTGCTCACGTGTATTTAAATGTCTGAAACCTAAAATAAACATTATGTGTTTGAAAACAATGGTTGTGATTAGTGGTGTAGTGCAGGGTATAACCACTTCTTTTTCGGTGGGCATTGCGTATAGCCACATCTAAATCCCCTCTGATGCGCTCATGCGCATCATTTAGTTGTTATCCAATCTCGTGAATGAAAAAAATAAAAATAAAAAAACACCCAGTGGTCGGACCCCCAATCTATATAGCAGACTCTAATTTTTTGCTGCAATAGTCTCTCATCGTGACGATAACTGACCTTCTCATTTACGCCCCCCAAACCCCCTAGCAATAAAATACTACAGTATAATATATACCTAATAATATGACCCTGATATGCAAAAATACTAGTGATTCCATATGTTTTATTGTATTCATTATATTTTATATTCTAAAGTCTTGCATTTTCAATACTAATGCAAGACTAGTAGTCTTGTATGTCACTGTTTATAACACAGAGCGTAATGTAATGTAATGTATAGGGATATTCAAATTAAATGACCCATCATACCATTGACAGCTCTACCAATCTTGATTGTCTTTTTTCATGAATAAACAAACACCGTTATGTTGTCTTGATTGATACTGTGAAGCAGCCTTGATACAATCTGAAAAATATATTTGACTTGACTTGACTTCTATTTTAATACAGTTTTATGGTTATGTGGGGCATGGTTATGATTAATAATATTGCACAGTAATTGACAAAAAATGTGGCACACCCAGTTTTTCAGATGCACACCCAAAGTATTTTTTCTATTGTTGTATTGATACAATTTATTCTATTGTATCAATCCCATTTTTTTTGATGCTCATCTTGGTGTTTCCATTCAGCATTTTGTTTTTAATGCAATACCCTAAAAACTGCATAAAAATAGGGTGGGTGGAATCATGGCTAGCGGCTATCGGCATGTCACGTGGGTGGTTTAACTTGTTTGTAGTGAAACCGAATTGTCATAGGATCGTTTACAATAGAATGCAATGCAATAGACACATAGAAAGTGCAATTAGTAACTTATCTTACAGCATCAGTATATGAATCCACATTCTGTTCCTCAAAGGCCTCTAAAAGTTTCTGTGAAAACAAACCCGGACAAGAACAATTTAAGCACATAATTCATCCATTGTCAGGACAACAATGTGCTACTGTCACCCAACACACTGTTCAGACTGAATGATTGTGGTTTATTCACAATCCTTTCACATGACCAGCACATTTAGTTTAAACATAACTGGTTTAAAACAGTTGCGATTACAATCTAGAAACCCACATTTAGCAGGAAGAAGACACACACTGTTTGTATAAATGCTGAGTCAAGAGCCAACCTCACCTTCAACAATTTACATTCACGTGAATCTGAAAAGGCTGGAAACATTTCCTCATACTTCTGGAGGGCAAGCTACAAGGGGGGCATCAGAGACAAGGAATATGAAAGGGAGCCTCAAACGACACAGCTGTTTTCCATTGCTTGTTTGAAGGAATGTGTAATGGTAGGGTGTTTCATACCTTAGCATTCAGCATGTCCACACAAAAGTGGCAGAGAGCTGCCTTAAAGAAATAGTCCTTTGCGCTGTATTTCAACAGAGTGCTGTCCATTGCATGCGTTGCCACCTGGAAACCCAATAAAGAAATAGCTTAACTTTTTTTCCTCAAATCTACATTTGCAAAAAGATGCAACTTCTTGTTTCAAGCTGATGTACAAATAGTGAGTTTGGGGTTAAACTGACTGCATTCTTGAGATGTGTTCATTCGATAATGAAACCCACACTTAAGATAAGATTCGATCAGCCTTCATTTGAGAAAATAAGGAAACTGTGGTATAAAAGTAATGTTTTTTTGACTGGTGGAACATGATCACTCTTCAAGGGATATGTCTCCATAACGTGAAAATTTAAGTCATCATCTACTCACCCGGATATTGTTCTAATGCAGAATCACGTTCTTTCTTTTTCAGACCACAAAAGGCGAAATTTTTAAAAATTTATTTGGTCCAAATAATGGCAGTGAATATCGACCAACATCAAGGATCATCAGAATGATCCCATTCAACACAATGTACGATAAGGTTTGGTGAAAAACAAACTGAAATTGTATGTATTAGGGAAGCACCGATGTGAAAATTTTGGCCGATACGATAACTCTTTATATTTGAAAGCCGATAACCGATATATCGGCCGATAAACTTAAATCCAAATTTTTATCTAATTTTGAGAGCCTGATTAGAAAAACAAGTCTCACAATTAAATCCATGTCCATGTTATAGTGTTGTATAGGCGATATGACAGATTTGTCTGGTGATGTTTACAAATGTGAACACGCTAATGTCATGTTATGATGAGCATAATGGACATATTCACCTCAAAGAAATAGGGCAGGGCGATATGGCACATATTTGTCAAAACGATTGACTGACTCACAATTTGGTTTATGTCATAAATTATGAAAACACAATATGATTCAAGTAAAATTTTTTTAAAAATAAAGTTAAATTCCAAATGCATCACACCTGACGTGATCAACATGCAGTAAATGTAAAACAAATGAAAATATGCATGAAACATGAAGGCAAATATTATCTTAAAACGTACCGTATATGCTCAGAAATAATATAAAATAAGACAAATGCTAAACATTTCTTCAAGTAACCATCATGCAAACATATCTAATATACAGTAGTAGTTCTTGGTAGACTTTTGCATTCCACTGTTTTCTCTAGACAGACGCATTTATGGGTTATACAAACACAGCGCCACTCAAGTAAACAAAAAGTGGCAACACTTTACTTGACATGACATGACATGAATATGAAGGAAGTTTTATGCATGTGTGCGACAACTGTCATTAAGTGTCATTCGCTCAGTCATGACATTTTTAATGCAAATATGACATTGTTTGAGATGTTTTATGGCACTTTGACATAAATCAATACATCATAACCTGTCAGTGTCTTTGTCATAATAACTTGACATTACTAAGACAACACAACCTGTCATAAACATGACATAGCAGATTAATGATCAAACTTAAGAAACCACCTAGCTTTATTGGTTAACATTA